CTGTCAAAACCAACGCAAGGCGCATGGCCCGCAGCTGGGATCGAACCAGGCATCCCGGCATTACGAAGCGTTCGCATCGACTTACATATGTAGTTAGTTGCGTATCCTTTACAGGACGTTGCAGAACCAACCCTAACAGCCCCTGGCTGTTGTGTGGTTTCTCTAGGCAATTTACATCCAGTAGTTTGCCATTGCTTCTGGACAGTCGGCTTTCTTGATACCACTGTCGAAACCAATGCAAGGCGCATTGCCCGCAGCTGGGATCGAACCTGGCATCCCGGCATTACGAAGCGAAGCGTTCGCATTGACTTAGCCACAGAGCCGACACATATGTAGTAGAAGAGTCTAAATTAGGCACAGCGTTTTGAAAACTAAAATCGTGCATACATCCACACAGAGCGAAAAAACAGAGGGTGGGAGAGAGAGAGAGAGAGAGAGAGAGAGAGAGAGAGAGAGAGAGAGAGAGAGAGAGAGAGAGAGAGAGAGGGTGGAGAAAGGGTGGAGAGAGAGAGAGAAAGAGAGAAGTTCGCATACATGCCGTTGACTGAGCTATCACAAATGAAAGTTTGCCAGGTTTTATCGATTAAGTTGGCGACGAACTAGTTTTGTCTGGAATTTCTGCGTAGTTATGACAATCGATATTGCATGTGTCACTGTTATATCTGGATCGAACTGCATCAAGATCGCAACGCCCTGTTGAACTGGCGATTCAGTGTGTCTATAATTTAGTGTTGCGTGGGCGCGTTTGCAGCATCCCTGATCAACAATGAGTTTAATACACGGGGTTATAGAATTCCTTGGACCCCTAAGAAGAGTAACCCAAGTGTTTTGAAAGAGGCAGGTGATTACAACTGATTACAAACATCAGAAAGTGACAAGTCATTATTTTTTGGGGGGAGGGGGGGGGGGGGGTCATGTTATGAGAAGAGGGAAGATGGAACATGTTGTGACTACTGGAAAGATTTGTGGACAGAGAGACAGGGAAAGACAGCGCGAGAAGATTCTTGACGACCTTTTTTCAAGGCATGGAGGGGGGTGTCAACACACGTGTATAGGCATGATCGCCCATGCAAGTCGGCAAGGCACTGATGACGATGATGATGATGATAGTTTAGTGTTGTGTGGGCGCGTTTGTAGCATCCCTGCTCAACAATGAGGTTAATACACCGAGATATATACAGTGCTGATTGCGTCGGTTTAGGGATGACAACGATTTTTAGTGAATCCGAAGACAGCTGAAGAGATGGAGTTTTCGATTTAAAGAAACACTGACATCTTAGTGTGTTTCACTTGACGTAAGTTAAAAGGACATTCGGCATTCTGAAGCTGCAGACTTTCTGCTGTGTTGGTTGATGAACTTTGGAATACATTTACTCTTTGACTTTGATATGATGGGGTTTTAGGCAGCATTCGCAGCTAATGGGCTGAGGTGAAGTGACATTTCGTAGTAGTAGTAGTAGCAGCAGCAGCAGCAGTAGTAGTAGTAGTAGTAGTAGTAGTAGTAGTAGTAGTAGTAGTAGTAGTAGTAGTAGTAGTAGTAGTAGTAGTAGTAGTAGTATAGTAGTAGTAGTAGTCTTCTGTAGTTCTTGTTCGCGTAGAAGTCACTACAGCTGTAAAACTCTGGCGGAAGGTTAGTAGTAGTTGTAGTCAGTAGTAGTAGCAGTGTAGTAGTCAGTGTAGTAGTATTAGAAGTTAAGAGAAGAGTATTGTAGTAGTAGTGCACTAGTTTTACAATATCATTCTCCTTAGAGTATACAGTAGTACTGTTGTAGTTAGTATTTGCCTCTAGTAGGCAGATAGCACCTCCGACTTCAGAAGGAAGCTCCCTAAGCAGTGTAGTAGTCGAAGTAGTCTTACGTTAGTATAGATAGTAGACAGTGTAGGAGGCAGTGGATCTTTTAGTATAGAAGTGATTAGTTTAAGTAGTATAGTAGACGTAACGGGGCCGTAGAAGTAGTACACGTAGGAGTAGTAGTAGTAAATAGTACTAGTAGTAGTAGTAGTAGTAGTAGTGGTGATGGAGTAGTAGTAGTAGTAGTAGTAGTAGTAGTGTAGTAGTGTAGTGGTAGTAGTAGTAGTAGTGATAGTAGTGGTAGTAGTAGTAGTAGTAGTAGTAGTTTGTGTAGTAGTAGTAGTTGTACGTGAAGGTACTAGTAGCAGCAGCAGCAGGCTAGTAGTAGTAGTAGTAGTTAGAAGTAGTAGTAGTAGTAGGAAGTAGTAGGTAGTAGCAGTAGTAGTAGTAGTAGTAGTAAGTAGTAGTAGTAGTAGTAGTAGAAGTAGTATTAGTAGTAGTAGTAGCAGCAGCAGCAGTAGTAGTAGTAGTAGTAAGTAGTAGTAGTAGTAGTAGTAGTAGTAGTAGTAGTAGTATTAGTAGAAGTAGTATAATAGTAGTAGTCTATTTCTTCTTCTTCGCGTTCACCAGCTGTAAACTCTGGCGGAAGGTTCTGGTTGCTCGTCCACTACTGAACTGCAGTCCTGCTCCAGAACCTGAGTGTTGCGT